CAAAACCCCGTCCTTGTGCTTAGAATGCGTCATCTGACCACTTTTTTTATTAGCCGAGTCACTGGTGCTTCCTGCTTCAGTTTTTGCTTATAAGCAGGAATCAGGAGGATAGAGTTATGGTCAGATTTGCCAAATGGAGGGCGAGGGAGAGCTTTGTATGCGTCTCTGTGTGTGGAGTAAAGGTGGTCTAGAGTTTTTTTCCCCTCTGGTTGCACATTTAACATGCTGGTAGAAATGAGGTAGAACGGATTTAAGTTTCCCTGCATTAAAGTCCCCTGCTACTAGGAGCGCTGCATCTGGATGAGCGTTTTCCTGTTGATTAATGGCCTTGTACAACTCATTCAGTGCAATCTTAATGCCAGCATTGGTTTGTGGTGGTAAATAGACAGCTATGAAAAGTATAGATGAAAACTCTCTTGGTAAATAGTGTGGTCTACAGCTTATCATAAGATACTCTACCTCAGGCGAGCAAAACCTTGAGACTTCCTTAGTATTTGATTTTGTGCACCAGCTGTTGTTTACAAAAATACAGAGACCGCCACCCCTCGTCTTACCCGAGTCTGCCGTTCTGTCCTGCCGATGTAGCGTATAGCCTGCTAGCTGAATGTTGTCATTGTTGTCATTCAGCCACGACTCCGTGAAACATAAGATATTACAGTTTTTAATGTCCCGTTGGTAGGATAACCGTAATCTTAAATCGTCCATTTTATTATCCAAAGCTTGAACGTTGGCTAATAGGATTGATGGGAGAGGCAGTTTACTCGTTCGCCGTCGGATCTTTACAAGGCACCCCGACCTACGTCCACGGTATCTCCGTCTCTTCCTCACGCGAATGACGGGGATCTGGGCCTTGTCTGGAGTCTGTAGAATATCCTTCGCGAACGCCTCGTTGAAAAAAAAGTGTTCGTCCAACGCGAGGTGAGTAATCGCTGTCCTGATATCCAGAAGCTCTCTTTGGTTATAAGAGACGATGGCATAAACATTATGTACAAAATAAATTACAAATAACGCGGAAAAACACACATAATAGTACAATTGGTTAGAGGGCTGTAAAACGGCAGCCATCTTCTTCCGGCGCTGTTCTTCTGTCAAGAGGTTCCACTGTTCTTCATGTCAAGGTTCCGCTGTTCTTCATGTCAAGAGGTTCCACTGAATGATGTGATCTGACCTACTGATGTCATGGGAAGGGACAGAGCTAGTGGAAACACGCAGAACACATCACATTTCCATTCGCACAGCTCACACAGTGGATGCATTTCCATGTAAGTTGTTTATACATTCTGAGCTGCAGTATTAACAGCAGTGGCACTTAGGCCTATTTCTAATGACCTAGTTGAGTTTCCATACGTTTATGAGAACCTATTCATTTTCACTGTTCCATGCTGCATTAGGAACTACATATTAACAGGGAACCATCCCCATGACATCAGAACTAGTTACAGCCGGCCACTGGGACCACGTCAGAGACCTCTGGGTGAAATGTGGTGGTGGCTGACAGTGTGGTCCCCATAGCGACAGCCAGGACTGTGGTATCTGGATGGTAGGTAGGAGGCAGGCAGCGTAACTACAGTGGCACAGACAAAACAATTAAAGTCTTTGAGGGAAGTCAGTCTCACACACACACACCCACACACATTCACACACACACACACACACACACGGGCACACATTCACACACACGCACACACACACACAAAGACACACATTTATAAGTAATATTCTTAAAGAATCAATGGCTATAAATAATTAATTTAAGTCAAAATATTGATGTACCAATTCCGGATTGCCCATTTAACAGGAAGTGTGACAATGCAGGAACAGGGGGGGGTGAGAATTACCATCTCTCAACTCTCTCACAGTGAAAACATCTGCTTTGGCTTTCATAGAATCTGAACGGAGACAAGATAGCTTAGCATGAAGGCTCTTCTCAGCAGGTTGAGACTCGAGGCCTGAAAGTAGTCCAGCAAATCAAATCAAATCAAATTTTATTGGTCACATGCGCCGAATACAACAGGTGCAGACATTACAGTGAAATGCTTACTTACAGCCCTTAACCAACAGTGCATTTATTTTAAACAAACAAGTAAGAATAAAACAACAACAAAAAAGTGTTGAGAAAAAAAGAGCAGAAGTAAAATAAAGTGACAGTAGGGAGGCTATATATACAGTAAAATAAAGTGACAGTAGGGAGGCTATATATACAGGGGGTACCGTTGCATAGTCAATGTGCGGGGGCACCGGCTAGTTGAGGTAGTTGAGGTAATATGTACATGTGGGTAGAGTTAAAGTGACTATGCATAAATACTTAACAGAGTAGCAGCAGCGTAAAAAGGATGGGGTGGGGGGGGCAGTGCAAATAGTCCGGGTAGCCATGATTAGCTGTTCAGGAGTCTTATGGCTTGGGGGTAGAAGCTGTTGAGAAGTCTTTTGGACCTAGACTTGGCACTCCGGTACCGCTTGCCGTGCGGTAGCAGAGAGAACAGTCTATGACTAGGGTGGCTGGAGTCTTTGACAATTTTGAGGGCCTTCCTCTGACACCGCCTGGTATAGAGGTCCTGGATGGCAGGGAGCTTTGCCCCAGTGATGTACTGGGCCGTACGCACTACCCTCTGTAGTGCCTTGCGGTCAGAGGCCAAGCAGTTGCCATACCAGGCGGTGATGCAACCAGTCAGGATGCTCTCGATGGTGCAGCTGTAGAATTTTTTGAGGATCTGAGGACCCATGCCAAATCTTTTTAGTCTCCTGAGGGGGAATAGGCTTTGTCGTGCCCTCTTCACGACTGTCTTGGTGTGTTTGGACCATGATAGTTCGTTGGTGATGTGGACACCAAGGAACTTGAAGCTCTCAACCTGTTCCACTTCAGCCCCGTCGATGAGAATGGGGGCGTGCTCAGTCCTCTTTTTTTTCCTGTAGTCCACAATCATCTCCTTTGTCTTGGTCACGTTGAGGGAGAGGTTGTTGTCCTGGCACCACACGGCCAGATCTCTGACCTCCTCCCTATAGGCTGTCTCATCGTTGTCGGTGATCAGGCCTACCACTGTTGTGTCGTCGGCAAACTTAATGATGATGTTGGAGTCGTGCCTGGCCATGCAGTCATGGGTGAACAGAGAGTACAGGAGGGGACTGAGCACGCACCCCTGAGGGGCCCCCGTTTTGAGGATCAGTGTGGCAGATGTGTTGTTACCTACCCTTACCACCTGGGGGCGGCCCGTCAGGAAGTCCAGGATCCAGTTGCAGAGGGAGGTGTTTAGTCCCAGGATCCTTAGCTTAGTGATGAGCTTAGAGGGCACTATGCAGGAGTCCTGTGTGTGTGATAACAAACCTTGCTTATAAACTTTTCTTAACGTTAATATACCTCACCATGAAACATTATGGCTAAATGTGTCATTGTCCCAGAGTGCTTGAAACGGTGTCAGACTTGTGGTGCAGTCGTTTCAGAAGTAGCTACTGCTGTAACAAACAGCCAGAAGACGTCTAAAGGGGAAAAAACAGCAAGGCCAACCAGTAAGGAATTACAATGTCAGGGAAGTGTCATCACCCTTTAGAAGACTGCAGACACTTTCAAAATAATCATATAACACAAGAGACATGTCCTAGGTTGTCTGTGATTTAATAAAACCATGACAAAGGCCAATCTCATTGGCTCCCACAAATAGAGGCAACCTTCTAGGGTGCGTCCCAAATGGCACCAATATTCTCTACATAGTGCACTAGTTTTGACCAGAGCCCAGGACCTATTCAAAAGGAGTGCACTGTATAGGAAACAAGGTGCCATGTGGGACACATCCTACAGAGGACAGCCTGCTCTCATACTGTGAAGTTTACCAGAAAGATGAAATAAACTTTTCCTTATAACACAATGTCAGGAACTCTCTAAAGCCAAGACTAAACCAGAAAATAAAAAACAAGTTATTTTCCATATGTCACAATTCCTGCAGAGTATTGACAGGGAATCCAACGTCAAGGGAGAGAAGATGTGTCAAACATCCCCCAGAGCCCCGGTCACCTGTCATAGCCTTGGTCTGTGTTCCAAATGCAACCCTTTCCCCTATGAAGTGCATGACTTTTAACCAGATTCCTATGGGCCGTGTAAATATTCACCCCCTAGGCTTTTTCCACATTTTGTTGTGTTAAAGCCTGATTTTAAAATGGATTAAATTGATTTTTTTTGTTACTGGCCTACAAACAATACCCCATAATGTCAAAGTGGAATTCTTTTTAAAAAACATTCTTCACAAATTAATAGAAAATGAAAAACTGAAATGTCTTGAGTCAATAAGTATTCAATCCCTTTGTTATGGCAAGCCTTAATAAGTTCAGGAGTAGACATTTGCTAAACAAGTCACCTAAGTAGTGTTTAACATGATTTTTCAATGACTACCTCATCTCTGTACCCCACACACACATTTATCTGCAAAGTCCCTCAGTCAAGCAGCGAATTTCAAACACTGATTCAACGATGTGGTTGAGGTTAAGGTTATGGGGTCATTTTGATTCAAATAAGTGGGTGCTATCTAGAACCTTAAAGGGTTCTTCGGCTGTCCCCATAGAATAACCCTTTGAAGAACACTTTATGGGTCCAGGTAGAACCCATTTGGTTCCAGGAATAACGTTTTGGGGTTCCATGTAGAACCTTTTAAACAGAGGGTTCTACATGGAACCCAAAAGGGTTTTATCAGGAAACAAAATGCGTTATCCTATGGGGACAGCCAAATAACCCTCTTGGAACCCTTTTTCTAAGAGTTAAGTCTGGAGCCCCATCAGTATCAAGGTGACCTGGGGGGCGTCGTTAAGCCACTGCCTGGTCCGCTGGTCCCAGTCCATACTGCCCCAGCCCTCCTTGATCTCCAGTACAGCCAGAGTCCAGGGGCCCTGGACCACGTGGTGGGGGAGGAAGCACACCACAAACACCCCCACCACGGCACACATCATCTGCAGGGCCTGGCCCTTCACCCCCCGGAGCATGTATGAACTAGAGCCCCGAGTCTGGATAGGGGACTGGGCGAGCAGGGCCCGGGCGATGAGCAGGTTACAGACTACTACTACGAAGAAGACCAAGATGAAGCACCCCACGATGATGAGGTGGGTGGCGGCCACCGTCCGCCACTACAATCTACAACCCCGCCCCCCTTTTTGGCTTTGACAAATTCTTTGATGAGTGTGTTGATGGGTATGGTTTGGATACACAAAGACAGTGTGTTCATGGTGTGTCACGTGTAGTGCAGTCAGGTTAGAGGTAAATGGGTAATGTGGTTGAGGCTAAGTTTATGGGGTCAAACTATGGTTCATGGGGTCAAACCTTTCCACAGAGGGTTCTACGTGGAACCCAAAAGGGTTCTACCAGGAACCAAAAAGGGTTGTCCTTTTGGAACCCTTTTCTAAGAGTTAAGTCTGGATCTGTAATCTGTGTGTATTTCAGTACCACAAAGTAGTTATCCATGTCTCTTCCTATCTCCCTAGAGAGACTCTCCAATGTGTCTGTGTCATCCACACCCAAGGACCTGGTAACCATGGAGGGGCAGAGTGTCACCCTGTACTGTCAAGCCACCTACCACCCTCCCTCTGTCGTCTGGAGCTGGAGCAGTTTGGATGAGCAGGGTGGGTGGCAGGAAGTAGGCATCGGTAGGTGGCAGGAAGTGGGAATCGGGCGAGAGCTGACCCTGAGACTGGCAAGGGAGAGTGGGCAGTACTTTTGCCAGGCTCACAGCAACATCTTGGTCCTGACGCAGCAGCAACAAAGCCCCTTCCACACAGTCTGTATCCTCTACTTCCCCGTGACTGGTAATCTACTCATCCATCATAACCTCCACCTTATTTCTCATATGAGTCCAATACATTTAGCTTCCTCTCAGCTCAAGATGGAAAACAGCTCAGTTTGAGGAAATGATGAACGATAACGAGATTTGTTCCATTAGTAGAGTGGCGCAGTGATTGGCGCAGTGGTCCAAGGCACTGCATTGCAGTGTTAACTGTGCCACTAGAGATTCTGGTTCGAATCCAGGCTCTGTCGCAGGGGACCGGGAGACCCATGGGGCGGCGCGCAATTGGTCCAGGGTAGGGGAGGGCATGGCCGGCAGGGATGTAGCTCAGTTGATAGAGCATGGCGTTTGTAACGCCAGGGTTGTGGGTTCAATTCCCACAGGGGGTAGAAAAAAAATAAAAAATATGTATGCATTCACTAACTGTAAGTCGCTCTGGATAAGAGCGTCTGCTAAATGACTAAAAAAAAATTGAGAATTACAGCTGATGAGGATGATGTTTGGTAATGGTGGTGTGAGAGTGACAATGTACCAAAATATAATGTACTGGGATGGTGCCTCTCACATTATCATGTCATTTTTCTGGCTTTATAACATTGGATTGCATTTATCAATAGTTGTATGTTGCCGAATGTATCAATATTTGATGCACAGAAGTACTTTATAGCATAGGTTTGTAAAGTATTTGATTTTAGTGTAAGCCTGTGGCACATCAATGTCAATACAGTTCAATTGAGTGTTCCTCTTCTTCCCTTAGGCAGTGTGTATGCAGGAGTGACAGGGTTGGTACTGGTTCTCCTTGCCGGGGTCTTACTGCTCTTGGTGCTGCTGTGGCTCTGGAGGCAACGGGCCAAAGAGAGGGCCGGTCAAGAGACCCTGGGCACCAAGGGTGAGTGACACTGTCAAGTGTACTGCACTGTATCAACAGTTCTGCCAAGTCTTGAGCTATAATTGTAATATGTAGGCTACTGTAGTTACAGGAAGTAATGTGTTGTTATTTAGCCAATTCAAGTATGCCATTTCATTTAGCAGACGCTTTTATCCAAAGCGACATACAGTCATGTGCGCATACATTTTTACGTATGGGTGGTCCCGGAGATCGAACCCACTACCCTGGCGAGAGAGGGTGATGGGACTTACCCAAGGACAGGAACAACATATGCACATGTGACATGAATGTAACGCTACAATAACCTGCTTGATAAACCACATACTGTAGATAACAGAAGAGATACATCCTCCTTTGCTCTCTCTAAAACACTGTGGGGCAGTTTCCCAGACACAGATTAAACCTAGTCCTGGACTTAAAAACTATTTCAAGAGATACTCCATTGACCATGCTTTTTCGTCCAGGACTATGTTAAATTGGTGTCAGAGAAACTGGCCTTAAGAGAGTTCGAGTTTGTTTAATATTTGAAGAGAATCTAGATTTGACTTATAAAAAAGTAAAGAGGTTTGAAAAGTGTTATTTTTCTTGTTTGTCTTCACTCATTTGCAAGATGCTGATAGTGATCTTTCTCAGAATTTCTTAACGGAAGCCTTGAATAAAAAAATTGTTGTGAAACAAAAAACAGGTATTTCAATAACAATATATCCGTTATATCATATTTACATTTGAGAATGCAGTACAGCGTGCTACACAACACATTTTAATTGCATCACAAACATAGAGTTACAGTTACTGCAACATTTATACTAGAGGTCCATTAACTTTATAACCCACTCATCTCTGTTAATACTTCAGTAGCTGGCAGTTGAGAAGTCATCAAGTTCATCACACGGTTACCAGCCTTGTAAAAGGACTGTGAAGCTTGTTATTCCCTCATTCTTTACAATCACTAGCTTTAACAATAATTGCAATGCATCACATATTTTTTAAAGTCTGGTAACACTTTATTTGGATAGTCTGTAAACCATCTACAGATGGACTCTCTACAGACTATCACTAACATTTCAACTATCTTAACACTAACCCTTATCCCAACCCTAACCCTTATCCCAACCCTAACCTTAACCCAACCCTTATTCTAACCCTAACCCTAACCTTAGCAAGCAGTTGCTTGTCAACAAATAGTGTGTTCATAGTATGACCTCTCTGTAGAGCATCTACAAATGGACTATCTGGACTATCCAAATAGAGTGTGAACGAAAGTACTTCTGGGCTCCCAGTATTTATTTTGCAATCTTACAAATTTGCATTAACAAATACAATTTCACAACGCACCACACGTGAGAGTAGGCTAAAAGACTCTGTAGTCTAAAATCATAGTAATTCTACATAGCTTGTTTGGCAATTACAGTTTCAGTTCATTACAAAGATTTACTTATCTCAACATGCATGAACTTTACGGACAGCCAACATCCTGAAAAGCTCATTGTTATTAATATGTGTGCATATTAGACGATCAAGACAGAGGAATTTGTAATTCCTTGCTCATGACTAGCTGTTGTTCAGCACAGAATTTAGAAGGCTCCAACAGTGATAGGACTATCCGAGTAAATGCACCATATCCTCTGTAGCTCAGCTGGTAGAGCACGGCGCTTGTAACGTCATGTATCGTGAGATTTTGAGTGAAAACCTCCTTCCATCAGCAAGGGCATTGAAGATGAGACGTGGCTGGGTCTTTCAGCATGACAATGATCCCAAACACACCGCCCGGGCAACGAAGGAGTGGCTTCGTAAGAAGCATTTCAAGGTCCTGGTGTGGCCTAGCCAGTCTCCAGATCTCAACCCAATAGAAAATCTTTGGAGGGAGTTGAAAGTCTGTGTTGCCCAGCGACAGCCCCAAAACATCACTGCTCTAGAGGAGATCTGCATGGAGCAATGGGCCAAAATACCAGCAACAGTGTGTGAAAACCTTGTGAAGACTTACAGAAAACGTTTGACCTGTGTCATTGCCAACAAAGGATATATAACAAAGTATTGAGAAACTTTTGTTATTGACCAAATACTTATTTTCCACCATAATTTGCAAATAAATTCATTAAAATTCTACAATGTGATTTTCTGGATTTATTTTTCTCAATTTGTCTGTCATAGTTGATGTGTACCTATGATGAAAATTACAGGCCTCTCTCATCTTTTCAAGTGGGAGAACTTGCACAATTGGTGGCTGACTAAATACTTTTTCCCCCCACTGTATTATAGCTGGCACAGTGGCCAGGAAAAAATCTCTACAGGGTAGAAATCTAGAGAGGAACCATACTCTGGGTGGGGCTGTGTGGTGTTGCATCTGTTCATGTGAATGTGTCTGTATGAACATGAGGCTACGTAACAGAGTGCATGTTCTGCACTATGTGTGCATTGTTAGATGTGGGTGTGATGAGATGAAGCATCCTGAGGATGTGGTCACTATCAACAGTCAGCATTAGCATTAGCCACAATGTTTACAATACAATGTTAGCTAGAGATTTAAAATCTGGAGCTGCTGCTGCTCGTTATGGAGCCGCTGGCTCATAATCTTGCACTCCACCATAGAAATCTGTGTGATGGCTGTTTCCGAGCATCCTTTGCACCTCCTCAACATTTTCAGATGGTCCTTGATGTACAGGCGGAACTTCCTGGTGGCGAAGCAGTAGACCACAGGGTCCAGGAGGCAGTTGAGCCCCATCAGCATCAAGGTGACCTGGTGGACGTCGTTAAGCCACTGCCTGGTCCGCTGGTCCCAGTCCATACTGCCCCAGCCCTCCTTGATCTCCAGTACAGCCAGAGTCCAGGGACCCTGGACCACGTGGTGGGGGAGGAAGCACACCACAAACACCCCCACCACGGCACACAGCATCTGCAGGGCCTGGCCCTTCACCCCCCGGGGCATGTATGAACTAGAGCCCCGAGTCTGGATAGGGGACTGGGCGAGCAGTGCCCGGGAGATGAGCAGGTTACAGACTACTACTACAAAGAAGACCAAGACGAAGCACACCACGATGATGAGGTGGATGGTGGCCACTGTACGCTTTTCGTCGTCAGTCTTGTGGTGGTAGCCCTCGAAGCAGCGCGACACGTTGCGCTCATCCACCTGGATGTCCGTCTTCAAGAGGTGCGGCACGGACATGGACAGAGTGAGCGCCCAGATAACCATGGTGACAGCCACTCCGCGGCGCCAACGGTCGGACGAGGCGGCATCAAGCGGGCGCGTGATGGCCCAGTAACGGTTGACGCTGATGGCGGCGAGGAAGAGGATGGAGCAGTAGGTGTTGATGAAGAAGAACACGCCGGTGACACGGCACAGGAAGTCGCCGTAGCGCCAGTCGCCGCTGCAGTGGTAGTAGCCAATCCAGAAGGGGAGGGCGCACACGAAGAGGAGGTCGGCCACAGTCAGGTTGACCATGTAGATGCGGATCTCGTTCATGGCCTTGGCGTTGCGCATGCGCCGCAGCACGAACAGCACGTAACTGTTGGCTATCAGCCCAAGGACAAACACAACACCGTAGAAAACTGGGAAGAGTGTGTATCGGAACTCCGAGTCCAGAAAGGTTGTTTTACCGACTGTTGATAAGTTCACTTTCCTGGACACTGCTAAGTCCTCTGGCATCCCCATGGTGGCCTCCACTGTTGGTTATGCTAAAGAAAGCAACTCCCTCTGTGAGAAAAAGACTTCATATTAGACTCATATTTCAAGAATCACTCTTTAATGTTCACTTTAGTACTACTCTTACTGTAGTCAGTAGGAGAACGTTGGACATGTCTAGTGTCTCTCTCAGGTGAAATTAATAGCTATATGCCTATCCAGTCTGAGCAGTTGTTGATTCACTGAATCAACTCCTGATAAACACACAAAGTGTGTCACACACCACCATATTTGAGAGTTTCTCAACTTACTGTAAATGTAAATCAAATGCAGTTGTATCTATAGAAACCATAAAACACACCTATCATAACAGTCAGCTATGACACATACAGGAAGTGTCTTAAAACACTTGTGTCACCAGCCTTTTCTGGTCTGCTTTCATTCAGCAACACTTGCCGCGTTCACATGCTAGTCAGAAATAGGAAACTCTGAAATGTCCAACTTGCTGATTCGTTGAACGTGGCACATGTAAAACTAGAACCGGAAATGTCAGAGTTTCCTAGTTCCGACTAGCACGTGAACATCAAATCAAATTTGATTTACCACATGCGCCGAATAGAACAAGTGTAGACCTTACAGTGAAATGCTTACTTACAAGCCCTTAACCAACAATGCAGTTAAAAAAAAAAAAAATTGGGTAAAAAATAGATAAGTAAAAAATAAAAATAGCAAATAATTAAAGAGCAGCAGTAAAATAAAATAACAGTAGGGAGGCTATATACAGGGGGTACCGGTACAGAGTCAATGTGCGGGGGCACCGGTTAGTCTAGGTAATTGAGGTAATATGTACATGTGGGTAGAGTTAAAGTGACTATGCATGGATAATAAACAGAGTAGCAGCAGCGCAAAAGATGGGGTGGGTGGGCAGTGCAAGTACTCCGGGTAGCCATGATTAGCTGTTCAGGAGTCTTATGGCTTGGGGGTAGAAGCTGTTAAGAAGCCTTTTGGACCTAGACTTGGCACCCCGGTACCACTTGCCGTGCAGTAGCCAAGAGAACAGTCTATGACTAGGGTGGCTGGAGTCTTTGACAATTTTTAGGGCCTTCCTCTGACACCGACTGGTATACATTCACATTTTTTACATTTTTTGTCATTTAGCAGATGCTCTTATCCAGGGCGACTTACAGTTAGTATGTGCATATATTTTCATACTGGCCCCCCGTGGGAATCGAACCCACAACCCTGGCGTTGCAAGCGCAATGCTCTACCAACTGAGCTACACGGGGGGCTATAGAGGTCCCTGATGGCAGGAAGCTTGGCTCCAGTGATGTACTGGGCCGTACGCACTACCCTCTGTAGTGCCTTGCGGTCGGAGGCCGAGCAGTTGCCATAACAGGCGGTGAGGCAACCAGTCAGGATGCTCTCGATGGTGCAGCTGTAGAACTTTTTGAGGATCTGAGGACCCATGCCAAATCTTTTCAGTCTCCTGAGGGGGAATAGGCTTTGTCGTGCCCTCTTCACGACTGTCTTGGTGTGTTTGGACCATGATAGTTTGTTGATGATGTGGACACCAAGGAACTTGAAGCTCTCAACCTGTTCCACTACAGCACCATCGATGAGATACTACCACCGTTAAAGCTGGAATCCTTAATTGGTTAAACTGCCACATCAAATAACTTACTGCAAATAACAAACATAGTTTTTCCCCTCAATCATCATTGCCTGTCTAATAGGACAGCAAAATATGCACTGCAATGTTTTTTTTTTACCATGATGCCGAATGCTCTTCTCCTCTGTTTCCATCAACAACACAAAAACAATAACAAAGACTCTTAGGCCTGGGGCCCTAATGTGGATTCCATCTTTAAAAGAAGGCTAGATAGTATGCATATTATACAGTCATCCACAGTTGCAGTTCAAAAAACACGACACAAGTGTCTTACCCAGTAGGCTACTTCATTTGAGCCGGATCCTGGCACCTCTCAGTTTTGGACTGTTTCGTTACAGAACCCATTCGTCCAGATCTGCAACATCTGGTATGAAAAATTATGTTCAATGTTTGCAATCAAAAAATTCTAATAAAAGCGATCAGTGTTAATTTGAGTTGCCTCCTCTGTAATTCTCCTGCCCCCTATAAAACATAATGTGAAAAAGTGCCTGATATTCTAACAATTGATTTGTGTTGGGCAAGCCAAGGTTGATGGTTTGCGCAACGTTGTAGCCTAGAATTAACACTGCCTGTCCTCCAGGACACCTACAGTACCAGATGTCACAGGAAAGCCAAAAAGATCATCAAGGACATCAACCACCCGAACCACGGCCTGTTCACCCCGCTACCATCCAGAAGGCGAGGTCAGTACAGGTGCATCAAAGCTGGGAACGAGAGACTGAAAAATAGCTTCTATCTGAAGGCCATCAGACTCTTATATAGCCATCACTAGCCAGCAACCACCCGGTTACTCAACCCTGCACCAAGACTATTCTACAGACGGGAAATTAAAAAATGTAATATCTTATGATTCACCGAGTCGTGGCTGAACGACAACATGGATAACATACAGCTGGCTGGGTTTTCCGTGCATCAGAAAGATAGAACAGCTGCCTCCGGTAAGACAAGGGGTGGCAATCTGTGTCTATTTGTCAATAACAGCTGGTGCACGAAATCTAATAATAAGGAAGTCTCAAGGTTTTGCTCGCCTGAGGTAGAGTATCTCATGATAAGCTGTAGACCACTCTATTTACCAAGAGAGTTTTCATCTATATTTTTTGTAGCCGTCTATTTACGACCACAAACCGATGCTGGCACTAAGACCGCACTCAACGAGCTGTATAAGGCCATAAGCACCGGTTCGTCAATCTAAGTAACATAATGTAAAAAATCCCAATCAGAATCTGTCAGTTTAAGCTAGAGATATGTCTATTTTGCATTGGATGCGTCTCAATCTTCCGCATCCGCCTATGTCGCAGTTCCGCATCTGTGGTGAAAGGTGGCAGAGCTGGAGAAGTGTTTGTCAGACCATGAGACATCCTGAAAATCGGACTTCTCACAACAACGTGTGTAGCGTCCGAACGGTTTACAAACTATTATGGAACGGGGAGACTTTCACAAAGATGATGGTGGTCTCCGTTTTGCTCTACGACCCCCACAAGTGTCAGGGGACTCGTCTGAAGTCGGTACTGTCGATGTGTCAACTTCTGTTTGTAGCGTCATAACCATATGAGCTACAAACTAATGTGAACCCACTGTGGAAAGGGGAGATTCTCACGGTGGTCTCCGTTTTGCTCTACGACCCCCACCAGTGTCACCGGACTCATGGAAGTAATAATAATAATAATAATAATAATATGCCATTTAGCAGACGCTTTTATCCAAAGCGACTTACAGTCATGCGTGCATAAAATTTTTTTTGTGTATGGGTGGTCCCGGGGATTGAACCCACTACCTTGGCGTTACAAGCGCCGTGCTCTACCAGCTGAGCTACAGAGGACCGCAAGTATGAAGGTCGTTTTGTGCCAAACCAAATTATGTATTATGAATGTGTTATTAATGCGTGTCTTTGGGCTATAGTAACGGCCAAATGCAATATTTTATCAAATAATTTTTTTATATATTTTTTTATACCTAAAGGGGTCCTAAAATTCTAAATCAAATAGCTAAATGATCCATAGTATGACCATCTTAAAACAATTCCATATGTCAGTGTCACGGACGTTGAAGGACGGGTCAGACCAAGGCACAGCGTGAAATGCATACATGTTTATTTTATAAAATAAACACACGAACAAAACAACAAAACAGCGTAACGTGAAGTCCTCAGGCTAAACACCATACAAGCCTATACACGGAACAAGATCCCACAACTAATGATTGCAAACAGGCTACTAAAGTATGATCCCCAATCAGAGACAACGAGCGACAGCTGCCTCTGATTGGGAATCACACCCGGCCAAACATAGAAACACAATACCTAGAATGTGAACATAGAAATAATAACATAGATCTCCACACCCTGACTCAACATACAAGAGTCCCATAAGTCAGGGCGTGACAGTCAGCTTAGCACCACACCCCAACCTCCCCACCCCTACCCCCCCCTCCGAATGGCTTAGACTTTTAAGAATTAAAGAAAGTTATTTAAGCCTTGAAACAATTGAGAAATGGGTTGTGTATGTGTGCCATTCAGAGGGTGACAAGGCACAATATTTAAGTGCCTTTGAACGGGGTATGGTAGTAGGTGCCAGGCGCACCGGTTTGTGTCAAGAAGTGCAACGCTGCTGGGTTTTTCCACGCTTAACAGTTTCCCGTGTGTATCAACAATGGTCCACCACCCAAAGGACATCCAGCCAACTTGACACAACTGTGGAAAGCATTGGAGTCAACATGGGCCAGCAACTCTGTAGAACGCTATCGACACCTTGTAGAGTCCATGCCCGACGGGGGGAGGGGAGGGGGCAACTAATTATTAAGAAAGTGTTCCTAATGTTCGGTATACTCAGTGTACAAACGCTCACACACACAAAACACACACACACACATATTGACGCTGCACACACACACGCATGCACGCACACACACACAAAGACACACTTTGACACTCTTCACATACACTGGTGCTACTCTGTTTATAATATATCCTGATTGCCTAGTCACTTTTACCCCTACCTACATGTTCATATTACCTCAACTACTTCGTACCCCTGCACATTGACTCGGTACTGGTACTCCTTGTACCTAGCCTCGTTATTGTCCTTCAAAGTCTTTAAAAGGGGCAATCGGGGATGAAAGGAAAACAGTTTAACATAGCTCATGAGGCATTTATAAGTTATATTCTTGAAGAATCAATGGCTATTTATAATTTATTTAAAAGTCCAAAAATGGATGTACCAATCCCAGATTTCACTTTTAAGAATGGTTGTTCAATGTTTTCTAATACTGTATGATCTCATTTAGGTTTCTTGGATTTCCAGATGCACTATGCAGAAATCTCTACGCCATTTCCTGGTTGCTAAAATTCGAATAGTTGGCCTAA